GTAGGGAAAAAAAAGCTGCAGTTTCTGAAACTGTTACGTGTAAGGCAACTTAATCAGTTACTGTTTGAGTGTTAACCAGTATCTGATAGTTGTTACTAAGCATCTTGGTCATGCTAAGGAAAAACCTCACAGCTCTAATGCCTTTATCCTTATAGTAAATCTTGGTATACACACATACAACATTATTTCTATTCTTCAGATAAAGACATCACGTGCCGCTCTCTGGGGTGGTGTAGTATTTTGACCTTTCTTCGTTTAAAAACGCATAACATACAGACCAGCAAAAAGGTACTACTGTAATAAAATTTGAGCCTTTGTACTTTCACTCTGTTATAAAACCTGAATTACGTATCCCACCAGAAAGGCTGCAATTGAGTGCATAAATCTAGTACAGAGACAAGAGGTTCCTGACAGAGAATAGAATTGAAAGAACATTTCATAACTCTTGCATAAAACAAACTATTTTGTAAAGCTACTAAAAAATAAGGCAAAACACAACTATCTTTTACCCCTAACCAAGTCAGCTATCAACTTGAGACTGCACTCCGTTTGAAATCCACTTCCTGACCAAAGTGGGTGGCCCACAAAAATATAGCAGCTTTGAGATTTATCTTTTTCCACGTTCATCTCCACAATCTCCTTTTCCCTTCTGTTAAAGCCAAGTCACTGTTGGAAAATAAACATACCAAAGGGAAAACCACCTAAATGAAAGCAAATTTAGTACTGTAGCAGCTCCTTGAAGAAACTCTTTCAAGTTAGTGTTCCTACCACAAGAAAGCCTTTCATAACTATTAAACTTAAGTGAAAAAGTCACTTCATAAAATTAGACTCTGGCCTTCCAAGAATCCATCCTCAGCCGAGACAGGAGTGCTATGTCTGCTGTGATTATCCTTATAAATCTTTCATTGTTACTGTTCTTAGACCTGTTACTATAGATTTGCCAAGTGCACTATGATGCATTCAGCAGAAAAGATCGCCGCAATTTAACTATAACATTTTGTGAAGAACTGTCTCCTTTTTACCATTTTGAACCCACCGTTTCCTACTTCGCCTGCACGACAGGAAGCAGCTGGTTACTGCTCACCTTCTCCACGTGTTCAATAATCAAAGACTATGCTGAGGACAACTCCACTTAAAAAATACTTCTTCTGATGAGGCAAATCATTATAACACTGCTGGAAAAATGAAGGTAGCATATTCTCATTGTATGAGGACCTGCCATATCTCACATATCAATGTGACTAATGTGTGTAGAATTTTCAAAATACACAAGGATTGATTTAGATATTACCCTTTAACATACATTGCAGTGTTAACACTTCTAAAAGAGATCATCTTTGACGTCACCATAAAGAGTACATACTGTGAGAAAATAAGCATGAGAAATTCAGTAATTAGTTGGAAAATAGAGAGGTGGGGAACATCAGCTGAAGCCAGACATTGATGGGTGTCAGGCACGCCTCTAAGTTCTGGTCGACCTCATGAGAAAGGAGACCCGTAGCTGTTATCTCCTCAGACGAAGCCGCAGGCTTTCGAGGAACTGCACAGAGGAAGCAATGGCAGCACTCGCGTGTAACTGAGCAGGGTAACAAAGTCTGTGCAAATTATTTCTGATTATCCGGTGTATTTGTCTTTAAAGACATTCCATGCGGAATAGCCACTCCATAAGCTTGAGTGACCTCTGGACTCAAGTAACCAAATCTTTCAACATGAGATCCAAGGAAGGCAGTTTAGATGTCAGAACTGTTTGGTTGGTACCATCTAGCACCCCATACAAGTCCAAATTTTAAAAGATAAGGTGCTTCAGATGTGGACTAGTGGCTAGTGAAATTATCAAAAAGCACCCAAGGCCTGGCCTGTTTTAACTTTCCCTGTTTAGAAAAAGGGCTTACAGCACGGCAGGCATTAAACGATTACACACATTCGAAAAGCTGGGCCGATGAGGCTAAGCTGCTCTGGACGCTCAGCATAGCAGGTGCCTATTTGGGGTGGTGGACCTGCCTTTCAGAAACTGAATCCTGGCTATAGCCTTAGGCTGTAACCAGAAGATGATAAACAAATTTCTTTGCTGAGAGAGAGAGAGAGAGAGAGAGAGAGAGAGAGAGAGAGAGAGAGAAATAAGTCTTTGAGTGCAGGGAGCACTTACTGACGAAGAGAAGGGTACTGGAGGGGTCCGTGGCACTCACCTACCAGGGAAAACGCTCTTGTTCCAGCTGTCCGTCCCAAGGGCCTCAGTAGTAGGTGATGACCTGGGAGTTGCCTGCTGGCTGCAATTACAGCTTTCTTCCCTCCTGCCAGCTGTTTGTCTTTGCATCTTGACACGCAGCATTTAATGCAGGCCGTTACCCTCCCGCAGGCAGCTCCGTGCAGCTCTGCTCTTGCCCTCGTGTCGTCCTGTGCACGCTGCAAGGTTAGAGTCTCGCATTAGGGGTCTATAGAGTAAGGACAGAGCCTGTATTTTTTCTGTGCTCTACAGTTTCGGAATAATTTATGAATGCATGTAAATAGCACTATAAAATAGAATTACTTACAGCATTACTTTCCTTGTCACACACACAATCATATTGACGAAAATCAGGCATAGCCTTTGCTCCTCTTTTCTTTATGGAAGGCTATCACAAATTGTACTCCTTCCGCACGGAAAGCGAAGGAGCTCTCCAGGACACTGCTAATACAGAAGAGCGCAAGTCAGTGCCACAATAACACATGGCACCAGCTGGAAAGCCTGTTTGGCCAAATGTGGGCTTCCTACTTACTCTGCTGCTATGCATGTTTCTGGCACTCTGCGTAGGATTTGCGTAATTCACCAACTATATTTTGGGATTTCCTACGTGTGCTAAATCATAATAAAAGATATCCGCCGACGGCAAAGCGTCTCACTCCATAGCCTCCAGATCCCTCCCCAGCCTATTGGTTAGGGCAGGCCGAGACAGCCGAAAGCCGCTTGAGATTGAAAAGGTGCGAGCAGTAAATAAAAGGAAATCCTGGATTACCATGTAGTGTTCAGCTCCCACACTTTGACCTCCTTTGGTTCTCTCTGTATTTTCCTAAGATCATATTTCTTCATGTACTGCCTGGCTTAAAAGCAGCCATAAATCTATAGAGCGCAGTAAGAATAACAGAGAAGGCACCATGTAATACAAGGGGCTATAATTCCATCGGAGGCACTCAGGAGGGATCGTAAATCAGCGAGGCAACGCTCTAGCCAAGAGAAGCGGGGTCTGAGGCTGCAGCGGGAGTAGCCTGGCTTGCGGCGAGCGCGCTCTGCCCGCCTACCAACAGCGCAGCTGTGCCGAGGCGCTGAGCTCCTCCAGACCCACCTGCTTCAGTAGCTCCTTCCTGCCGCAGAACAACGCCCAAGGGAATCAAAGTCAGACTGGGTTTAGGGAAGGGAATGAGCGAGTCGAAGGTGCCATGGCAGCGACGGGAGAAACGTTCTGGGAACAGGACAAAGACATATATGTGAGAGGGACGACATGAACAGCCAGACACCTAGAAGGGCGGTAGGGATTACCTGCGCCATTTCAGTAATGCAGAAAAGCAGCTCGGCTTGCAGATACGCCCCCACGTTCTCTGAGGAGGAGGAGAACGGAGGGCAAACTCCAAAAAACTTGAAGGGGGTGTTACTTGCAGCGCATAGCTTTCTAATATTTAACTTAGCTGTAACGTAGGTAAGAAGCTCAAGCTGTGGGCTCAGCCTAGCAGCACGCTGGCAATAACTCTAGAAAGGCCGGGTAACGTCAGGAGGACTCAAGCTTAGGCCCAAGCTTCAAGCCAGAAGCTCGAAAACTTCTGCTACAATAAACCCAGTTGCACAAAGAAAGGCCTTTCTCTTACTTTAGTCTTGCTCATCACAAAGCTTAGATCAAGGATAATCGATACCTTGTGCTGTACTGCACAGAGGAGAGACGGCAGTCCTACTTATCCTGCCAGCAGGTGTCTCCATGGGCTCATCCAGCCACGGCTTCCTTTGCTCTAAGGGCTTTTCCTGACCTCGGTGGGAACCACTGGGATGGGTCACTTCATCAGCGCTTCAGTCCAGCAAAATAACAAGGATGTATGTTACAGTAAGGAAAAGCAAAGGAGTTTTTTAAACCAGAGACTCTTAAAAAAGCATCTGCTTCACTGAATCTACAGGAGTTAGAGGAATTTTTTACTTACGGGTATGCCCCATTTCTCCTCGTATTTAGTAGTAGGACTTGTAGCAATTCTTAAGGATAAATTGCCATAAGAATTGTCAATACCAACTTGTTGGCTTCACGTTTTCTTTTTCTTCTTCTTCTTCTTTCCCAACAAAAAAAACGTAGCCCCTACTCCACGGCCAATGTTCTTTAATTCATCCCAGTAACAAGTCAAGCCCCTTCTGGCTTTATCCTTGTCCCCAAGGTGCCCTCCCCCAGCTGATTTGTAGTCACCTGACTAAGCCATCAGGATATCTAAATAGGGGAGGAGCCCTTATGAGGTGAGTTCAGGTAGAAATTATAGGTCTCCTCGTTTTTGATGATTAAAGGCAATTAATCGGGGGGGAAAAAGTGAGTTTCTAGGATTCTTCAGGCTTGAACTACAGTAGAGATAACATGCTTTAAATATGTTCAGGGAAAAGCATGCTCCCTATCATTACTAACCTTTGGTGGAAATGATGCACTGAATGAGACATGCTGCACCATAACGTGAGAGCTGTGTTTAATGTGTATCAGCAGGTGGAAGCAAACTCCAGATGCTGTGCTCTCCACGCGCTTGGCACCATCTGTAAAAGCCAAGTCGCCCGTTTTGGCCAGTGTATGGTCAAACCACATCTTCAAACTATGGACGCTCAATATGGCTCGAGTAGCTGTGCACATGGATATGCTATCATCGGTTGAGGATATTTTCCTTTTGTAGCTATTTTAGTTTCGTGTGAGCAACAACGGTTTCTTATTTTGTTTCACTTGTGCAAAACCAGTGTAGAGGTAGCCCCTCCATTAGAAGTTTGGAATTGGCTTGAGCTACAGATATACTACCATATACTGGACAATATAATCTGGTTTCTTTGCTCTAGTATGAAAAACCTTTCAAATGTGGAAACTTTCTGAGGGAGATTGGTTTCTCTAATTCTCTTTTTCCTCAAATTTTAATCAAAAAGGGGAATGACCACTTCTTCATTTTTCCTTCTCTGTCACCCATTACAACCTAATGAATGTTAAGATGTAAGATATTTCTGTTTGGTATGGTTTAGTATTTTAAAGCTTCTTCAGCTTTGGAAAAGTTTTTGCAATTGCAAAGGGGAGACAAATGGAAACTAACTTTTCCATTCCAACTTTCAAAGTGTCTCTGGGTTTTGATAAGATGGGGAAATAAAAGTTAAAAAATTAAATTCTGAATTTCATGCTACTCCTTGCAAATACTTAAAAAGGGAGAGTAAAAGAAAACAATTCATTTTGGAAACTAAAAAATTTAAAAGAGAAAAAAAGTTTTTATATTCTAACCATGTGCATCACATACCTAACCTCGGTAGAGGTCACTGTGATGTGACAACAAGCTAAGCCTAAATACAAATAGACCCGATGCGATTGTCATACCGCAACTGATTTTCAAACAGGCGCTGCTGTAACACCATTTGTCAAGCTCACAGGGTAGCTTTTTCACAGATGTAAGAGAGACAGTACCGAATTCACGTTACATCCAAAGAGCAGAGCATGTGTGCATGCACATGGGAACAACCTCCTCAGGAAGGACTGTAAAGTCTGAGGTTAGGCTGAGTCCTCGCAGACCCTGGAGTGCAGCAAACTTGTGTTTTACTCTTAACAATTCTATAACAAGTGAGATGTTTGAGAAATCTGTCTTGCTGGTGTAAAAAAGCAAGATAGAGCTGCCATTTTTCACAAAAGGCAAATGTTCAGTCAGTTACCTTTTGTGAGATCAGGAGTTACTTTCTTTTCAGTTTGGATGTTCACAATGAGAAATACGTAAGAAAGACATTTTTATTTGTGTTAGTTCTAAGTGCATCAAGTGTTTCTCTTCCAAGCTTTAATTAGAAACATATACTAATATGTAAACTGCTGCACACTTTCAGATGATTGAGAGACCTTTTTAACAAACTAATGTATTTGCATTATAAAAATCTCACTTGGGCTCCTTGAAGATGAAAATATTATTGTTTATGTTTGAATACGCAAGCTGGACAGAGAAAATCTCTGCTAAGAGCCTCAGGCCATGGCTGAAATACAAAAAAAAAGCCACACCAGGGACCTTAGTTACAACTTGGTTGTCTCTTAACCTGGTTACTCATATGGTTTTGATTTGTTTTGGAGACTAGGCATGAACTGTATTCCATAACAATACAAAAGCCTTTATATGATCAAATGTTCAGCACGACTGGTAATTGTTACCATTAATTGTAAAACAATTAAAACTGCCAAAGTGACTTAGGAACACAGATCTATTTGAAAATCAGTGAGCATTTTGGCCCGGGTTTTTGAATGACTTTGTCTTGCTCTTTTAGCAGTGCCAGCACTGATTTTTTTTTTTACTGAGATCTAGGGATCCAAGTCACTTCAAATGCTCAGTCCCAGTTCCTTACAGACTTTGGGCGTTCAAGTCTTTAAAGGCTCCAGTCTTCCATAGTTATTCTAATGGAAGTTAATAGCTGGACACCGGCATGGATTGTTTTGAGCCACATCCCTGATCAGAGATATGCCTAATAGCTTAAAATGTTTGGTTAATACCCCTGTCACTCAGGTTTTGTGTGCTGCTGTTAAGGGCAGGCTAAATCGTACCCTTTTCCACCGACTCCTCTTCATGCATCAGCCTCGCAGCACTGATGATACCTGCAGCTCCGCAGCCTGTAGTTCCCCAGATTTGTAATGCACACGGTGCTGGAGGCTGTCCAGCAGGAGCCCAGCAGATTTGCTTGCTTGATGTCTCCAGGAACCTGCGACAAGGCACAATGAGACAAAGCCAGGCTGGCATGACTCCGTTGCATCCATGAGCCCGCGCTTGGGCTATGCTAAAGCCTGAACCTGGGCACAGCTTTGGGTTCAGGCACTACAGAAGATAGACGAGTTTGGGTTTCATTAGGGACTAACGACTGTGCTTGAAGACCATGCAGCATGTCCTGGGTGGTCCTAGAAAAAATCCTTTTCCAGGCATGCCCACTGTGATGCCAGGGCAGCGGTACCAAAGGTCTGGCTGCGCTGCGGGCTTTAAGAGGAGGGTTATGAGCAGACATGCTTCTTCCGCTGGCTCTTGTGCATAGCTAAAGGGTCTTTTCCAGCATGGCCTGGATTGTCCCGTTTCACCTGTGTAAACTCACTGCCAGCAATAGGATTTCCTGTGTGCAACTTGCCTTCTTAGAGCTAACGCCTTTGTGAAGTCACTGAATCTCAAGAACAACTTGCTTTTCTTTTTCCTAGAAAGTTTTTGTAAAGCTAGTGCCATTGTTTTTGCTTCAAAAACTGGAAAATGTAATCAGAAAGTGGGGCACAATTTGGCACATCCTATCATAGACTGGCACATCCTATTACAAACTGGCCCCTGTGCACTTCTAGGTGGGCTTCACCTCTCTCACTTCCATTAAGTGCTCAATGCTTCACTCAGACCAACGCACAGAGCTACGAGGCAAAAATACACTGAAGCAAACAGCTCATGCAGTGAGAGACGTGAAGCTACAAACACTTCTTAGCGTATGCAGCTCATGCAGTGCTCTGACAGCTCCCTGCAGGTGCAGGGTGCTGTTATACATATGACTGTCAGTGCCGCTTCCCCAACTCTGCCACGCAAAGGCGCTGAGCAAGTTCACAGTTGGATTTCTTCTTCCAGTCTGCCTCCCTGATGGGAGAGATGAGCTCAGTGTTAGCAGTGGCATTCTCCTGCTCAGATGTATCAGTTGTTGCTATGAAAAATTCCTGTTATGGTTTTCTTCCCGTCCCCTCCCCCCCCCGTCTCCCGCTAAAGATGTCTAGCCTAACTGTGGAGTCCTGGTCAAATTCCAGCTTGCAGAACCCCACCCTGGTTTTAGCAGCCCTTTGGGCAGTTTTAATCCAGTTCTGTACCCTCCCTCCTTTTCCACTTCTGATTTGCTGTTGTATTTCACCACAGAAATGGGTTTTATTTCTTTAGAAATCTTGACCACTGTTATTCCCATAACTAGTACGCATTCAGACTCTGAGAACTGCATTGTGCTAGTTACAAAAAACTCCACGCACAAGTTTTTAGCTATTACCACACAGAGGTAACTTCTCTGCACTACTGAATTCATGGCAATTAATAGCCTGTTGGACCTTGAATTCTGTGAACGGTGCTTAGTATTTTATCACCAAAGACTTCAGCTAAAGTTGTTCCATTTAGTGTTGGTATCCCATTACGAGAACAACTCGGGCCCAGGCACCACATAGGGATTTTCTTTAAGCCCGAGGGAAGGTAACATTTTCTTCTCCTGATGAGCACCAGCTCTCCTGCTCTGCAACCACCACTGTGCCTCTTGTCTCACAATATGTAGTGTGTCATGTTCAATCTGCATCAACGCTGGCTGGCGTACCAGCGATGGACTTACTGCCTTTTTAAATGCTCTCCCAGCATAATTCCCCCTTTGTAATTTGTCCTTTCAGTGGAGCTCCCTGGAACTATTTCTGTGCTGAAGGGTTTTGCCCTTTCCGGAGCGGCCACGCAGGAACAGCTCCCTCGGCTGGCACGGCTGCGGTAGCTTCGCATGGTACCAATGCAGGATTTTTACAAGTGGGGCTGGTAGCATAGCCTTTTATTAGGGTTATCCAACTTGCCCAGGAAAGGAGCATCTGCTGTAGTGTTTTGCCAAGCTTTAACTGTTTGAGTGGAAATTTCCCATGCTGGGGATCTGGTTTTGGAGAATATGGAGGCTTGCTCATGTTAAAAAAAAAAAAAAAAGTAACAACCTTGATCAGGATCACTGAAAAAAGAGGTTAAGATCACAGAATCACAGAATCACAGAATCGTTTAGGTTGGATGGGACCTCTGGAGATCATCTAGTCCAACCTCCCTGCTCAAGCAGGGTCACCTAGAGCATATTGCCCAGGATCACGTCCAGACGGGTTTTGAATATCTCCAGCGAAGGAGACTCCACTACCTCTCTGGACAACCTGTTCCAGTGCTCTGTCACCCTCACAGTGAAGAAGTTTTTTCTCAGGTTCAGATGGAACTTCCTGTGGTTCAGTTTCTGCCCGTTGCCTCTTGTCCTGTTGCTGGGCACCACGGAGAAGAGGCTGGCCTCATCCTCTTGACACTCCCCCTTCAGATACTTGTACACGTTGATGAGATCCCCTCTCAATCTTCTCTTCTCCAGGCTGAACAGGCCCAGCTCTTGCAGTTGGTGCTCCATGCAGCACAGCAGACATTGACAATTTGTCAGTGGTGGCCTTGTTTTATGTCTTTATTGCGCCTGTGATCAATCTGGTCTCAAAAAAATGGGTACTTTCACCAGGGCAGGGAAAGGGAGCGAAGCACTGAAACCTGGCCTCACTGAAAACCCTGCTCCCACTGATTTTCACTTGGTCCATCAATAACCAAATGTAAAGGCTTTGTCTCAGCAAGAGTCTGCTCATCAGTTAATGTTGTTGCTACACTAAAAAAAAGATGTTTAAGCAGATATAATTATAAAATTAAAACCAACTCCCAATGGCAATGCAATGTGTGTGTCAATTCAAGGTTATGCTTTCTCCTCCAGCCTAGTGTGTGCAATACAATAGCCTATGACCTCAAAGAGAACTGATGCTGACAGGGCTTTTAAAAAATGCTCATTTCTCATAATGAATCCTGTCCAAACTACTAACATTTTGATAGAAACATTTTCAGAATTCAATTCTGGAAAGCATTTGGCACCACACAGTTGTCCTTTAAAGTTTCTACTGCAGTTCCCATTAGCTGTAATGACACCTACTGCTAAGGACAGACCTGATTAACTGCAGGCCTGCACGCTGCTAAATATAGGCACACATTTTTGCATTTACTGTAGATCCTTGCAAAGAGAACACGATGGATTTTTTTTGGCCCTTTGTTTTAATGGGATTGCCAGAATGACTAGAATCTGAAAACTCACAGCTCATTACCAAGAACAAAATGCTGACCCAGGCAGCGCCAATAGATTTTAAAATAACTTCAGAGAAGAGATCTAACAGGCTCTTGTAGAATGTTTCCCCTCTTTTCACCCCTTTCTCCCATACAGAACATTTGCTATGTATTTACTGAATGTACAACTAAGCTTGAGATTTCTGGCCGATTTCGTATCCTGGGGAGGAGCAGGATGTTTTAAGCTATATACACTACAGTCACTACTCGCAGTCAGCTAAGATGTTTACACTGCAGCTGTGACTCTGCACTTTCAACAGGAGAAAAGGAGTTCAGATGCTGCAGTGTATGTCCCGAAGCCCTTGAACATGGCTAGCATGGCAAGTATCCTTACAGCAGTTTTAAATTAAGAGATTCTCTTTAAATAGCAAGAAGAGATTAAAATCAGTCTCAGTATCTATTCTCCTGTATTTTTCAGACATGCAGTAATTTTTCCTCTTCTACCAATTGCTCATATCCCTCTCTATGAACTCAAGTCAAATAACATTCCTAACCTTTCATTAAAGGTACTAACAAAAGGCTGTCTTGAAGTGCTGAATGACCTCCAATACCATCAGAGTTGAGATACGTGTGATGCGTTTAAACTACAGAAGCAGTAAAATACCGTTTTCCTGTCACATTCGTGTTTTATTTGCTCTGATAGTGGGTATCTTAGCTTGCCTAGTTACAAATATGATGATAATGCTTTTCATATGAGCAATGCTTTCTCAGTGTAGCATGAGAGAGAGATAGGCATAGAGGATTATGAGGAATTTAAATTTTAATTCTAATCTACAGTAGTAAGCTGCTGTATAATCAAAACGTACAAAGCTGTGTACACGTAACTAGCTTAATACCTTTGGTCTTAAGGTAACCTGACGTTTACATGCTTCCTATTTCCTGCTGTATTTTGCAGGTGGAAGGATGATTTCTAAGTCTACAAGTCTTTCTTCCACAACTTTTTGTTGTAAGACCCCATGGTTTGCATTCTCCAAATGTCTTTAATGTTCCTAGTATTTTCTGTCCATAGTGTTCCAGGTGCAATTTATGGCTTTTAGAGATCCAGTGAACTAATCTTTTGGGGCCATTTAAGTAAGGTGCCATTTAAATGCCATGAAACGAGCCTGCTTATGAGAAATGGAGGGTACAAAATCAATGTCTTGTTTTTTTTAAATCTGCTCCTTGATTCTCTTTGTTGCAGTCTTTTATTTTTAATATAAAGTTGACCTACTAGAGAACATTCACAGAATCACAGAACGGCTGAGGTTGGAAGGGACCTCTGGAGATCATCTAGTCCAACCTCCCTGCTCAAGCAGGGTCACCTAGAGCATATTGCCCAGGATCACATCCAGACGGCTTTTGAATATCTCCAGCGAAGGAGACTCCACTACCTCTCTGGGCAACCTGTTCCAGCACTCTGTCACCCTCAAGAAGTTTTTCCTCATGTTCAGATGGAGCTTCCTGTGGTTCAGTTTGTGCCTGTTGCCTCTTGTCCTGTCACTGGGCACCACGGAGAAGAGCCCCTTCAGATATTTACACACATTGATGAGATCCCCTCTCAGTCTTCTCTTTCGCAGGCTGAGCTCTCGCAGCCTTTCTTCATACGAGAGATGCTCCAGTCCCCTCATCATCTTGGTAGCCCTCCGCTGGACTCTCTCCAGTAGGGCCATGTCTCTCTTGTACTGCGGAGCCCAGCACTGGACACAGCGCTCCAGGTGAGGCCTCCCCAGGGCTGAGCAGAGGGGCAGGATCACCTCCCTCCACCTGCTGGCAACACTCTGCCTAATGCACCCCAGGATACCGCTGGCCCTCCTGGCCACCAGGGCACACTGCTGGCTCAAGCTTAACTTGTCC